TTCATTAATTTCTTCTAAATAAAGGTCTAATGCGAACGTGTTACTAATTAATTACTTCTGCGGAATGTAACACGAACCCATATAATTAAATTAAATCATTCGGAAATTATTACAAATAGAAAACAAAACAAAATAAAACCAAAAATAAATAACAGATAAAATAAATAACCAAAAATAAATAATGAATAACTAAAAATAATAACTAAATAAATAAATGATACAAATAAAATAAGAATAAAATATAAAATATCACTCCGGATTTTCAGGGTTATTGATCAGCGAATTAAGGTCCAATCCGCATTCCGGTGACACATTTAATCAATTAATCAACATTAGATTCTAGTAACAATAATAAAGGAAAAGATGTTGAAAGAATAGATGAGGTTGTTGATGAAGTTGATAAATTATCAATGAATGATTAATTTAATCTCCACTATAAAATTATTTGTTGTATTAATTATATCTTTTTATTTTATCTTTTCATCTTTTCATTTCAAAACTAAATCATAATAATCTTTTGAAATAATAAAATTTTTACTATTATTTTGAATAATTCTGATGTTTTTCTTTTTCCTTTATTAATATTATTATTAAAGTTACATTTGTGGGAATTCATTATTAATCAGTTTTTTGAGAATATACTGACTCCATTACATTGTTGGTTAAAATTATGCCCATAGCTCTAGTTAAACCCAAACAATTCACTAGTGATCTCACCCTTCCTTCTGGATGGGAAACTAACTTGCTTCTTGCAAATAACCTTGGTTTGAAGAAAAAAAGTGACCTGCAAAAAAAATTTCTGTCGTGGTGAAAGACTTTAATTCTGAAATTATAAAAGGCATGGTTTATTAAATAAATAAGGAATTGAGTTGTTATTGCAAAAACAAAATATTTTTAATTTTTAAAAACACTATATGATTATTTTTAAACAAAAACACAAATTCATTAGCTTATGTTCTCAAAAATTTTCTTGCGAATATTCTTGACAAAAAAAATTAAGGTTTTATGCAAACACGTAGTGTATGTACACGTGTCACGTGCGTTACATAATAAAATTTGCATCAATAAAAAAAAAATTAACTTTTTTTAAACTTTTTTAGAGTGAGTGTTTTGCTTGAGGGTTTGGGACACCCTGAAACACATAACATTTCATTTTGCATCTTACATATGATTCGTATGTGCGTATATATAACACGAGACAAGGTTGATTTGTGAAAATGATGGGATGATCTGATATGATAAAATAAAGTGATGGTTAGAGATTGTGTGGTTGGCACTTGTTCAACTTCCCAAAAAAGGGCCAAAAAAGGTTGTTTGGATCAAATGATGGGATGACCCAATGTGATTGTGAACCAATATAATGTAAAATAACGTGCAACGTAAAACCGTGTTTACACACGTAGTGTACAAATAGAAACTGCCTTAAAAATTTTATAATCATTTTTCAAGTCATGTGATTTTATATGAACTCCCGTTATAAAGTTATACAGACATTTTTTGCTTGTCCCATGAGTATCTTTATAACGGGAATGGCCTGTATTTCATTCGATAATAACAATTATGACAAGAAAAAAAGCGCAAAGGAATAACTTTATAATTAACTGAATTACTTGAATCCTTTATTAAATTTACACGGAAATAAAAAAATTTTTCTATGTCGTAATAAAATAATAACAATAAATCGTCCATTTTTCATTTTTCGGCTCATCCGAGTTGTTCATATTGTGATGAATTAGGTAGAACGTACATAATCCTAATATATAAAACACCATTGTTATGATCGTTATTATGCTTAATAAATTAGCAAAATAAAAAAAATCGGAAAAATTATCTCTTACAAAAAAATCAATAAAATTGTCAATGTCCCAAGTAAGGAACAGAGATAAAACAGTTCCTCTTCAGCGGCGTAACTGTTTAACAATTTATTTAAAAAAAATAAAAAAATAAGCATTATAAAATAATAACTATTGTTTTCAAAACAAAAGCATTTAATAATACACTCACTTGTAAGTTACGGTAAAGAGGAAGGTCAAGAACCATATGTTGAATAGGTTCCATAGTACTTTAGAATGTACTCTAATCGGAGAGGTAACTGTTATTACAAACAGTATCAACTGCAATTAAAAAATGATTAATTAATCGTGAGAAACATTCCTTTTAAAAAAAATCATCATCTCATAAATCTTAATTACAAATAGAACAAATGCACTGAAAATACGAAAAACAATCGTTATATCGATTGTTTTTGGGTCAAGCATTAAATTTTGAGTCATAACTTTATGAAAAGTTTTTTTGAAAATTTTTATTTTATAAGGATTTCATTATTTATTATATGAATTGAGAAAATCCTTTATATATATAGTAATAGTAATCTCTTTTATTTGTCTAATTGATCTGCGTAGAGTAAAGAAAACAGATTATCAAGCAATATTAATATTACCAATTCTTATTGTATTTGTTTTCAAATATATAACATTGCCTATGTTTGGAAAAAAAAAATTTAAATGATTCTTCTAATAATGTAAAGAAATATTAACAAATTAAAACAAAAATTAAACCTGAAAATTTAAATAGAGAACAAGTTTATATACGTACATGAAAAATCAATATAATACTATGATAATCAAGGACGTCTTAGGCAACTAATGAGTAACTTATAATTTATTTCCAATCAATTGATTTTTTCTTACAGTGAAAGCCACTTACAGGAAACTAGTAGCAAATATTCTACGTACAATTAAGTTGCGTATGCTTGGTTAACGTATTAAAAACGTATGCAAATTGTGCATATATTATGCGCTAACTCCCTATACTTATAATTGTGTAGAATATAAGTAGGTTATATGAGCTGCACCACAAAAAATTTTGGGAAAAAATTTCGAATCCCAGTCATCAACATATTTATTGACCAGTTCACGTAATAAAATGATGAGCGTCCTTGATATAAGAACTTTATTAGCAAATATGTGAAGCTTAGAGCCCTAGTTGGATTAGATCCACTAGGATAGAATTTTTATTGGTTCTTTAAAACATTTCGTTTATGATGATTTGATGAAACGATAATGGACAAGAAAGGTGAAAAGCGCAAATAAAAGAATAATTTATAATTAATGAATTTACTTGAATTTACAAAAATAAAATAAAATTTCCGTGTCATAAAATAATAATAATAATAGTAAACGATTCATTTTTATTTTTCAGCTCATTCGAGTCGTTCATAGGACGATTCAGTGTTCCTTAAAACGTACATAATCCTAATATATAAAAATACTATTGTTATTATCGTGATTATATTTAATAATTAGCAAAATAATAGATAATAATGCATCATAATAACACAAAAAGAGATTTAAAAAACACAAAAGGAATCTAGAACATAATATTATTGAAAAATTATGTTCAATCACAAGCTCGATAACCAGTATAAGGTTTAGTACAACCCGAATTCGCAGCAGTACCATGCAGTGATATCCCGGAATGAGCAATTGCCAGTGGAAGAAATGGCAGTAATTGCACAAGAATAATAACAAGAAACAGGACCGCGCTCTTATCCAAAAGATTAACGGGGGAAACTGAAGACACCGAAACAACGAAAGAAGAACTTGAGAACCCCAAGGCTCATTGGAATCTGATGAGAAAAGAAAGCTTAACAACGTATGGATAGATGGAAAATGAAGAGGAAATCCACTAACCATAAAAAATTTCGGCATGATAAATAAAGTAATAAAAATAGATTATTGTATAGTTGGATTGTTAAATATTTTATATGCAAGGAGACTAAAAAGGAATTCAAGAAATGTCAAAAACGGTTAAGTTGCGTTTGACGTCTGATGTATATAATTCATTTAAAAAACAATTAATAGCATTAATAAAAAAAAAGATTAAGCAATCCCTGATTTACGTAGAAAATCATCGTCCCAATTTAAGAACTTTATTCTATATATAAACTTTTAGGTGTTACAGTACTGTTCGTACTATACTCCTAAATGGTATGATTTTTTAATTAAACATACAGCATTCTTAATTCTTATTACTAGGTTATTTGTTTTATTTGCTTTATTTGTTTTATTTTGTTTATTGGTTTTATTCGTTCTATTTGTTTTATTTGAATAAACTTTCAATGTAATTCGAATACTAATGAATAAAACAAAAAATTTGAATAAACCTTATTGGAGTAAAACTAAGGATTAATTGTTGATGATTGATTTGGTAGTTTTATCTGTGAAAAGGAATTGCAGTTTCATGAAAAATGGTTCGTTGTATATAATA